TGAAACAGTGCCGAAGTGTTCAGACAAATCTGTAAATGCCGCAAAGAAAACAAAATATTTTTGTTAGATCGCATCAGCTACGTATGACCTTAATGTGCCATTAAGTGGTTTGTATATTTAAATTAAAATAAAATGAAACTCAGTATGTCTGTCTAAAAAATTGTGTATGACACACATGGTAAAAGTAATCTTATTTTGCTTGTAGAATTCGATCTTCCAGCTTCATTTCACAACATTTCTTACTTGCTAAATAGTCACTCTTATCACTCGTATCATAAATAACTATTATTTATTTAGTAGAGTGGGCTTTAATATTAAATTGTATATTTATACTTTTTTTATTTCTATTCGCACACGAAATAACTTCAATTCGATACCTACAATTTTGTCACGCTGCCGGAATTAAAACTCAGAGTATTTCATGCGTTCTATTTTTCATTCACGGAAGTCTTCGTAACATCAGCCCCGCCGAACACTCTGCATCGCGCGTAGGTCGCTCAGGCCACCATGCCGTCTCTCTACCAAGCTCGTGCGGCTGCAGCGGATAAACGCTTGCGTTCTCTGTTTACAAGCTGTTGGCCGAAATGAACCACCGTCTGACAAGAACGACAGCACTGCGTTCCCGGGAGAAAATTTCATCACTAGTTTTGTCTCTGAGGATTCTGTTTTATGGGAGCAAAATTAATCTTCTTTGAAGCGTTTAAGCTGTATTTCAAGTGTAAATTTTAAATATTTATATTTCTCTACATTAAAATGCCATTGGAGCGTTTTATATTTTTTCAATCGCCAATGAATATTTATACTACATTCGTGATAATATTAGGGCAAGGTACTGAAAACTTTCGTGTACTATATCTATTAAATTGGGTTTAGAATATTTATCTCTATGCTCAGGAATTACTGGTGATAAACATTTATTCTAATTTATAACTAATGCAAATATTTATTTTAATATTTGTAACACTCTAATAAATATTTTGACCAGTTGGTTTCAATATTTATGTCTTTATGGCATGAATTGGCAAAATACCCATACGAAATCAGTCTATTTTGAAAATTTATTTTTAGGATAGGGATGCGGAAGTATATTTCATTGAAAAGTCACCCGTTTAATAATAATTTTAACAGTATTTATTGAAATTGAAAAACGTAATATGTCAGAATTGCATGTCACCCTTCAAATATAATAGATGTTCTGTTTGTCTCATTATATTGTTGACAATTCAATGATGGTACTGATAGACACTTAATTTAATTTTCGTGATTTTTTGCTAATTTAAGAGAACTGTTTTTCAGATTTAAGATTAATCATTCATGCGTAAACATTTTTCAAATATTAATGATTATGATGTGTCTTTCCCCCTGGCGGTGCGGGGCGGGGCGGGCTTCTGGGCGAGCTTTGCGTCTGGGCGGGGCAGGACGGGACAGGACGGGGCAGGTCGGGGCAGGACGACAACAGGAGCTGGTCGGGGTTGCGGTGAAGGCGATGTAGGAGCAGTGTGAAGTTGGCTGATGTAAAAATTACTTTGTCATGCGCAATAGATATAATTATTCGTCCTTTTTCTGTCTGATAAATGATTGTGCTTTATAAATACTCGATAAACGTCAGGTTACTTCAGATAGTTATTTATATTGATCGTGATATTTAATCATCTCACCAACATGTTATTCTCAGAAACTGTTGCGTTTATACAAAACTATAATTTACGTTGTGACTGATGAAGTACTTTTACTACAAGCCCAAGAAAACATTGTCGTAATTGAAGTGCATCAATTTGGCCCACGCAAACATGAAATGCGTTGAGAATTTCTAATTTGCTAGTCTTCCTAACAAATGTCGACTGCCCATTTGGCCCTAGGGATGGATTCAACTGTTAGAGGTTACCTCGTCACCCACCTTCACTGAGCGAACATGGGATTCGATTATTACGGACATTACCAGAGAACTTAATATGGTTGGGAATTTAGTTACGTAACATTTTCGTACCACACTATTGACTTACTGCCGTTCATAAATCCTACCGACTACAGACGTGATTTTACAGCAGAATTTGGCTTTGGAAATCATTATACTCACCTCCATACCACTGCGTCGGGCGAAGTGAAAACTCATCTCGTATTAGAATACCCTCTTGTATAAAGTTTGCACCGAGGCGACAAGATGTAACTCTAGGTTTCCACATCGGAGCTGCCGTGAAGTTCAGTTGGGCGCCGTGCCCCCAGCGGGGCTGGAAATTTTAATAACGCGCGACGTCGCCGCCGGGCGGAGCGTGAACGTGTGCGGCCAGTGCGCGCCAGACCACCCGGCGCACCTGCACGTTTAATCCTCCGTTAATTTGTCTGAGGTTTTACGACGCAGGGCCCGCCAGACCATTGGAACAGACTGGATGGGCATCGGTCACTAGATGATTATACATTTCTACAGTGCTAATACTGGAGCTGACGTGGTCGCTGAATAAAATAGAGAAAAACATACTAAGCATATGTGAAAAAGTATGGAAAGAAATATATTAGGAATAACACTAAAACAAAATAAGAAAGAACATCATAAGAGAAAAAATCGAATAATAGAAGTCAATAAAAGAGCAAGGCATCTGAAATGGTAGTGGAACGGACATGTAGCAACACTCAACGACCATAGGTGAAGAAATAGATCTACAGTATGGGACCAAAGAAGAGGTTCAGGAAAAATTGCAAGACAGAAGATTCGTAGGGAAGACGAAATAACACGTGAAGCAGGAAGTTTATAGGCAATAACAGCAAGAAATAGAAGAGCATGAAAAATTCTCAATAAAAAGTGAAAGGGTTGAATGTGAATTAAAACCAGAGTTAAGTGGGAAGCATTTGAATACGAACAAGCTAAACTGTTTATCTATTATTCGATATTCTGCACTGTTTAATTATGCGTGATAAGTGAAAGTGTAATCTATAGACCAGAATATGAAGTAGACAAAAATTTTGTGTTACAAGAAAATGTTTAGATTTAAGTTTTCAGCGTAAAGAACAACAAATAGGTTAATCTTTAATCACCCTACTGAAAAGTAGAAGGCTCTTGTCCTATATTGGCAACGACCGTTGCCACTGTAGCGCATGCAGGTTATAAGATTTGAGTTCCGACGGAGGCGTATTTTCTATATTAGCAAGAAAGCTTGATCGAATTCAGTCGCTATGTTGAGGAGAATTTTAACAGATGGCTGTTCTGGTCGGTAGTTTTTTGTGATTTTTCCGATCAATATCTAACGAATTTCAGAGCAAACGTTAACGGGTCGCGTTCTTTCCTCCTTCTTTCCTCTGCCCCCCCCCCACGTCTGACATCCATTACATTACCTCACATATCAGGAGAGTAGTCGGGAGCTTAGAGCTTTCTTGTCGGGAGTGGAGCCCATCTTGGGTAGATGGAGAAGAAATCGTCGAAAGCAGTCGTGTAGATCGGCGCCAGATCTCATGTTCTACAAAGAAGAAACGTCGCGACTTCCCAAAGCTCTAACACCATGCCTCAAGCGCAACACACCCGGAACTAATGAATACTATATTTCACGCTTGCGATGCAAGTTAGTGAGGAAATACTCACTAATTTCGAAGACTAGATTATATCTCGTATCAATGCGTGTTTCAGGATAATTAGAACTAAAAGTGACGACACATAAGTATCATAATTTATAGCATGGTGTATACCTATGTTTGCGCCTTTAAACTCTTGTGCAACTTTATCGTCATGATGTGTGGGTCTTGTCTGCTTTTTCATCGATCTATCTACTTGAAACCCAAAACATTTAACATATTATAAATATTAGTAAAATATTAAAAATAGAAAAAAATACTTTAAAACATTCGTACAAACAAAATGGAATCTTTTAAACGAGATATAATTTTAAGAGAAATTAATTACTTCTACAATTAACAACCCCTGTTATTGGAACTTGTAGAACACTTGAAAATGAAGGTGATGTGATTTTCGTGTATAATTTGCAGCCTTTAGAGCCTTAAGGGTTACAATCCATTCAGACGAATCTATCATGATTATTTTTTTTAAGTGTAGTAGCATTAAAACACTACAATGCAACAAATTCACACCAAAAAATATTTTATCATGTATTGCATTTCATCTGTAATTTTTTTCTACTCTATTGTATAAGTCTCTGATTTGATGACTGCAACTCGTTGCAATTTTTTTCTTTAAATTTCTTGTAAGAGTAGAGGAAAATACACTTATAAAGGTAGCATTGGTCAGATTTTTACTGTGAACTCTAATATTTTGAAAATTGCCAAATTTCGAGATTTTTGCGGCATCTTCTTACAACAAAATTGAAGATAGAGATGTTTCCTTCAAATACAACTTGTTCTCCAGTGTAAGTTCTTTCATGAAGGTCATGCACATCTTTGTGAACATTTTTGTAGTTTTCGTGCGATATGTGCAATTTAAAAAAAATGAAGATTTTCTCAAAAACGGTTCCAAATTTCGAACAAAACAACAATCATGACAACAAATATCACAGAAATATTTAACCAAACAAACACGCAGTCGTATACTATCATACATAAAACCCATATCTATGTGCCTTACATCCATAGTTACACAAGTTACTATTAAATTTTCAACAATATTTTTAGAATACTTATTAAAAAATACAATGCACAATTCTTGCCATTATATTTACCGCAGATTTACATCCATTGAGGAGTGTAATTAAAAGATATTTACCAAAATTAATTTGCTTTACTGACTGTGTTATCTACTTGTTACAAGTATAGTTTACCCAACAGTTCACAGAGAGTGCAACAATACACTTGTTGACAGTTGTTCTTCGTTGTTTTGGGCCAGGAAGATTAAAAGGGGAGTTTGGGTTCTTTAAACGCCACACACGGGGATATTTAAATGGCTCTCGCCCCCTTTAAAAATGGCGAAAACTGTTCGGAAGTAAAATTATTTTCTTCCTAATACTGCATACAATGTTATTACACAAAAAAATCAATATTTATTCTTATTTCGAAAGTGTCAGTCGTCGTGTCCATTGAAATGAACAAGGGCAGAGGCAGGCTGTGTGCTGAAGGGGCTCTGTCGCTGTTGCAGATGCGCGTGCTCCTGCTGCTGCTGCTGGCGTGGGGTCCAGCGCACGCCGTTCACCCGGGTGAGTTGCGTTCGCAGAGGCGGCACTAGCGCGCGCGCGCTCCGCGTCTGCCTGCGAAAGCTGCACGCGGGTCCCTGTCGACGAGCGCAGCCATCGGTTCCCTTCATTCTAGGCTGTGCCCGCGGAGCAAGTTCTGTGCGCAGGGTGATGGTTCTTTCTGTGCGTTTCGCTTCTGAGAAGCACTTCAAGCTGTCTACTAAGAGATAATATAATTTTAAAAAGACTTTTATTTATTTTTAATATTCAAAATAATTTAAAACCTAATTTGAAAACAATCATTTGTGTGCTCACGCAGTTTCACATGCGCTACTAGACATCTAGTTGCTTGTAAGATCGAATTTAATTCAGTTTTCGTCTTAAAGCATGAACTAATTTCTTAACATAGTTAAGTTACTCTTTCGATTGGAAGTGGAATACATAATGGGTTTAAGATGTTTAATACAAAAATATGAGGGATAAAAGGTGTCGGTGGAATCATCAACATCGATTCAATTTTCTTTTTCAGCTCTAGCAACCATGAGGGTTTTAGAACACGACCATTTCTTTTAAATGTTCAAAAAATGACTTTTTGTTTGATTATTCAGTTAATAAATTATACACTTTTATAATTCTAAAAAAAGTACTGAAAATACGTAATCTTTTTCCAAATAAAGTATTGAAGTTCAATAGTTTGTCTATCTGCAGATTGGCGATAGGCCAACCGTTCAAGGATAGGACTTTTTTATTTCGACCTCAGAGTGTATCTAACATATTTTTTCATTGATTTCCAATGTCTAAAGGTGAATTTCTTTCTTTAATCTACGACGATTCGAATATAACGCTTAAAACCAAATGATCGTACAAAATTTTTTGACGTTGAAGTTCGGTAACGTACAAAAAACTCATATTTTGTATTTGCTAGTCATGACGTACCGACAAACGTTACAAAAATGCGAAAACGAAGATGACACGAAGTCACTCCGTGACACAATGTTGTACTCGACTGTTAATTAACAGGCAAACAAAAATTCGATATGTGTGCGTGAATGACGGAGGTGAGATTGGGATAAAGAAATATTTTAACCAACTTCACATGAAGAATCCGAAGAAAAATAAAGAGTAAAGGTAAAAAAATCTTTGCTAATAATTATAATTATTCAACTTTTCTCTCATTCTTTACTTCTACGAGTATATTTCCATACATGTTTTTCTTTTTACAGATTTTTTGTCTGATTTTTCCTTGAATTTTTGTTTACGCTTTTTCTCATCTCTCCTTTTTGCTTTCTTAATTTGTTATATTCAATCTCTTCTACTCATTCACGTACATATTGTTGCTGTTTAAAAATTATATGGTGATAACTACATTTATTGAGAGATCAAAAACGTTGAAAAGATGGAAAGATAAAAACTTGATGGTACAGTACAAGCAAAAAATTATAGAAAAAACAACTCATAATAATAAGAAAATGTTTGTACAGCTGCAATTCATACACCAATAACGCAAAACCAACAACACAACTAATTAATTGTTGCCCTCCAAACTGCCAGGTGAAGAGTTCCGCTCTATATCCACAGGCATGGGGGGGGGATGTTTTCCACGCCGGCCGTTGTTTTTCCGCGCTCTCAAATATCTCGGGCGCCGCGCATGCAAATCACCGGCGGCTGCGGCGCAGGCGGCGGCCCCGAGATCGAACCAACCGCACACGAGGGCGCTCCTCTCCGCTCTGCCCTCTGCTTCTCCGCCACCGCCCACCCCCGCCCTCCGCCACCCTCCCGCCGCCCTCCCGCCCGCCCTCCCGCCCCCTCCCGGCCCCCCTCCCGCCCCCGCCCTCCCCGCCGCCCTCCCGCCGCCCTCTCGGCGCCCTCCCGCCGCCTCTCGCCGCCCTCCGCCCCTCTCTCCCCCCCGCTCCAGCACTCCCGCCGCCCCACCCGCCCCTCTGTCCTCCGATCCTTCCGCTCAAATCTCCCTGCTCCTTTCCCCCCCCCCTGCCGCCCCCCGCTGCGCCATCAAACATCGCCGACCCCACTCACCACCCATCCTCTCCTCCGTGGCCCCGGCCCCGTCCCCGCTCCCCGCCTGGAGCGCGTATGCGCTGGTGAGCGGGTGGATGGGCGAGTGGGCGGTTAGCGCGGGGCCCTCGAGGCGCGAAATTAGTTCGCAAGACAAGCAATTTATCGCGATCCTCGCTCTGTATTCCGTGGCGGGGCGCTGGCGTGAGGCCAACTGCGAATTTGTGTGTGGCGGGGAGGAGGGTTCCGTCGCGCTCGGCCACTGTCCTGCCGCGCGGCGGCGCACGCCCCCGCGGGCGGGGCGGAGGAGCGGAGCGGGGCGGAACGGAGAGGAGGGCTGGGCGCCCGGGGCGACGCCGGACGGTCGGCGCGCTCGCGCCGCGGCCTGCGCCCAATGGCTGCGGTAAGCGATGGACGCTTCGGAATCTGCCGCGAGAGGCAGCCGGGCTCCCACGTTTTGCAGATTCGGGCTGCCAAGTGCTGCTCCGTGCAGGTTGGCTTCATCATCACATACACTATCGTAATTGGTGCACTGTGAAGTGGACTATTTCAGGGTGGTTGAGGAAGGGGGCAGTTGAGCAATGTTCGTATTTTAGCATATTTGCATAATTTTTTCGCGACGTATTCTTCCGTCTTAGCACTCGAGTTTTATGAACGAATGCATGAAATGATTGAAGGAAAGAAAAAGTGAGTGGGATGTATGAGTGAGTGAGCGAGTGAGTGGGATGTATGAGTGTGTGAGCGAGTGAGTGGGATGTATGAGTGTGTGAGCGAGTGAGTGGGATGTATGAGTGTGTGAGCGAATGAGTGGGATGTATGAGTGAGTGAGCGAGTGAGTGGGATGTATGAGTGAGTGAGCGAGTGAGTGGGATGTATGAATGAGTGAGTGAGCGAGTGAGTGGGATGTATGAGTGTGTGAGCGAATGAGTGGAATGTATGAGTGTGTGAGCGAGTGAGTGGGATGTATGAGTGAGCGAGCGAGTGAGGGGGATATATGTATGAGTGAGTGAGTGGGATGGATGTACGTATGAGTGTGTGATTGGCTTAATCACACTTATCGGAGATTATTTATTTTTTGTGAAGAAATTGAAGATTAGACACAAATAATGAAAATACGAAAGAGTAAAAATGGTGGAAAAATAGAAATAGAAAATTTTCAGAACTAGCTATACAAATCTCTCAAGAATTTGTCAGGATACGATCCCAGTGCGACGGGCGAATTAGAGTAGTCACATTTCATCAGTAGACATCCGATGTTGGGGCACTAAAAACACGTTTTAGGCGTCTAAGAGGGCACTACACTTTGTTTAAATATGCACCAAAGAAGGCATTCAAGACTCAAAATTGGAGGGAAAAAGGAACATAGTTCTCTGCACTTGCATGTAAAATAAGCCAATACCATAAAACATAAAATAAGAGAATAGACTATTAATGAATCACTAGTGAGTGGGGGACTTTAGCATCTTTGACAGGATTGAGCTCAGTTACTACACCTAAGAGGCACTGATGAAGTACTTCGCGTAATGCTCAACTCAGGCTCCCTCAGGCCACTTCGGGTAGTATGAAGACGAACCTCATCCCTGGCAGAGTTGGGCTTACACTGCGCACTTCCCAGAACAACATCTAGCACGGAGAGATAGCAGTGCCGGAAGTGGGGATCATCGCCTTGCCCTCTCAGACACAGGTGCAGTACTTTGATTATGTCGCGAATCAGTGCTCTGCGCTCACGTACGCGCCCACCGCTCAACGAAGTGCCCAGACACCTCCGTTTTGTATTTTATTTTATTTTCCCAAAAGAATGCGGGAAAGGAAATCTGAGGTCACAATGCAAGATTGTCTCTTCCAAAAATACAGTGACCTGCAAACCCACATTACAGCTTCAGTCGAGACAAACAATGGAGATTCGTTACCAGAAAATTTATGTAATTAGTGGAACTTAAAATGATTTAAACTTGTGTTATAAACCAAGAGTAAAAGATATAGATATATTAATTGCCTTTGAATATTTTGATTAGAATAAAATAGGCATTTTCCTAAACATCCAATGTCTAGACATCAGACATATTGATGTATTGCAGATTATTGAAAATTACTCGAAATTAAAAAAAAATCAATCGTGTTCACTCGTCCAGTAACACACACACACACACACACACACACACACACACACACACAAGCGCGCACGCACGCGCGATCACGCATTAAATAAATACATTGACAATTTCAGGGTGATTTGAAAATCCATAGGGTGTAGTGGTGTGGAGGTCATGTACGAAATCCTACTCATGACTCTCATGCTGAGAACGATGTCCAAGGGATTTCGACTACTACCAAATATAATGACCGAGAAATGTGGGTTCTGCTTGTTTTAGAGAAACACATTAGTGTTGCACGAAAATTCAACAAATTATGCCCTTCATTAACGACTAAAATCAGTATTTGTATCAGTATTAGTATCATATCAGTATCAACGATTGAAGTGAACAATTTAATGAGCATAATAGAAATATTCCGGGGACAGGTGAAGCATGCAAAATGCATACGAAAACGGAGATGTAGAACCTGCATTGCCTTTGAAGAGTAAATGTTCAAACAAAATGAGCGCTTTAGAGGAGATAAAATGTTGAAATTGTAATTCAATATACATCGAAATACTTCTTCTGTTCTCCGGACTTCGTATTCAATCACGAATTTCGGACTCGAATTCGTTCTCTCTCTCACACACACACTAAAACACATGTATCTTTTTTTTCATAGAAGTAACGTACACTAAACAAATTTGTCAATAAATGTAATTCTACGACAAAGTGTTATTTGAGTATCAACTTGTTCTCCAACACGATACATTGGCGATAAGATATCTGCCAACCAGATCCAGAAACTCGTTCGTCGGATGCTGAGACCTCTTTCCGGCAACTGTCGGGTCTAAGCCGGGCGTAAGCCGAGGGATTCTGGCACGCGGTGTCTTAAAATAAGTGGATTACTCGGCCGGCGCACTGACAGCGGCGCCA